ATATAGAGTACTCATACAACTCAACAAAAGGAAGACAAAGAACCCAATTAAAAAATGGGTAGAGGACATAAATAGACACCTCTCCAAACAGGACATACAAATGGCCAAGAGACAAATGAAGAAATGCTCAACGTCACTAATCATAAGAGAGATGCAAATTAACACGACTAGGAGGTATCACCTCACACCTGCCAGAATGGCTGCCATCAACAAATCATCAAACAACAAGTGCTGGCAAGGGTGTGGAGAAAAGGGGACTCTAGTACACTGCTGGCGCAGCCACTATGGAAAACACTATGGTATTACCTCAAAAAATTAAAAATGGAACTGCCATTTGACCCAGTGATCCCACTTCTAGGTATATACCCTAAGAAGCCTGAAACACCAATCAGAAAGAATATATGTACCCCTATGTTCATAGCAGCACTATTTACAGTAGCTAAGATCTGGAAACAGCCTGTCCATCAATAGATGAGTGGATAAAAAAAGCTGTGTACATTTACACAATGGAATACTATGCAGCTATAAGAAAGAACAATCTTGTAACCTTTGAGATGACATGGAGGGACTTGGAGAGCATTATGTTAAGCAAAATAAGCCAATCAGAAAAAGACAAATACCACATAATCTCACTTATTTGTGGAATATAACAAACAAAAAAAGCTAATGAAGAAAACAGACCCAGAGATACAGAAAGGAGTATGGTTCAGGTTGACAAACCTCAGAGGAAGGAGGTGGGGACGGGGGAGAATAGGGATGAGATAAACCAAAGAACTTATATGCATGTATGCATAATGGACATAGACAACAACGCTTGGGGGGGGGAGGTGTCTGTGGGGAGAAAAAAGGAGAGACATCTGTAACAAAAATAAATTAATAAAAAACAAAACAAAAAACAGAGTGGGAGAGACAGTAAGGACCTGGAGGTTACAGGACTAAATGATAACCAAGGGCTCAAGGGGGAGTGGTTAATACCTACAAATCGTTTCCTTTGAGGAATAAAGGGACAGAAGAAAGTAAAGCAAATGCAAAATATGACCATAAGCAAAAATAAATTATTAGTTCAGATAGTATAGTACTTACCCAATGGCCACTAAATCTTCATGATGAGGTGAGCAAGTAAGACAGAAAATTGTCCTGGGTTCTATAAAGAGGTGCTGGCTGTCGTTTCTGTTAAGCCAGTAACAGAAAACCACTCCTTTTTCATCTCCAGATACTATTAAATCCTTTACTCGAGGAGACCAATGCAATGCTGATATTGTATGCTTTAAAACAAAACATAAATATATTTGCTTCTCATTTGTTAGTGCTGAATTTTTACTTAGTTTTTAACCAGTACAATATGAGGCAAATTATAGGTACCTAATAAATACTGTTAATACCACTTGTATAGCAAGACTATACTAACCAAATGGTAGGAGAATTTAGGCTATCAAGGATCAAAGAACCATTTAAAGTAATTCCTTCCTTTAACAGCTTAACGCAAAGTTCTTACTAAGACTGAGTTAAGTGTTTTCCTTTCCTGCATTCTCTCAAAAGGCAAGTATATCAAATAATCATCTGGTTTAGAAACAAGTTTCATTTACTGATGCATCGTTTATATCAGCAGTCTATTTCATGTAAAGACCAGATAGTAAATATTTTAGATTTTGTGGGCCACACTGTCTCTGTTGCAACTATTCAACTTTGTAGATGTAGCATGCAAGCAGCCAACATGTAAACTGTGGACAATACTTCCACATTCGACTGGCTATATTATAGTAAAACAATTTGCAAAAAACAGTGTAACTTGCTGACCTTTGGTTTGTAAGTATAACCTTCCAAAATGTTTCTTACAATATAGAGCTTCTTATCTAATTAATGAACACAATTATAAAAGTTGCCTTGCACAGATGTGCTAGCAAAACTATATTAGAAACAAAAGAACCTTCGGCACAGATATATAACAATAGTCTGAGAAACCAGTAAACCATGGTACCTGATGGAGCGCATGTTCTGTCACAACTGTTTTTGTCTCTACATCCCAGATTTTCACAGTCCCATCGTCAGAGCTGGTGGCACAAAGGTTGTATTGACCCGGGTGATGAGAAAACGTGAAGCCAGAGACTCTTTCGGTGTGTCCCACCAACTCCCCTATGACTTCAAGCAAAACCAGACTCCAGGTTAAAGTGCTACCTAAGATTTCTGGCCAAAGCATATTGTTTTAGATTAGCAGTTCTCAACCTGTAGGTCGCAACCCCTTCCTCGGTCGCAACCCCTTCGGGGGTCGAACGACCTTTCACAGGGGTCGCCTAAGACAACAGTAGCAAAATTAGAGCTATGAAGTATCAACGAAAATAATTTCATGGTTGGGGGTCACCACAACATGAGGAACTGTATTAAAGGGTCGCGGCATTAGGAAGGTTGAGAATCACTGTTTTAGATGATAAGTGGGATCTGTTATCCCATGGTATAACAAAAATATCCATGGTAGTGGAACTCACAAGCAAAAGCCCTGGTGGTGGTACTGGCTCTGCCATGTGACTTCGGAGAAGTCACTTTATCTTGAGCCTTAGGTGTCTCGACAGTAAAATGCTTGTTATTCCCTGATGGTGCCTAGTTCACAGGCTGAGGAGGAGCCAGAATGAAGAACACAAGTGATTCTTATTTAGAGCTGGCCAGATATCGTTTGGAATGGAATATCTGGCATGCCATATCCCAATGTATAATCAAGACCTAGTTTGGAGCCCAAAAGCATTTGGCTCAACTCATTCATTAATCTTACAGAAATAAGTATGTATTTATAGGATCTTGCTTAGGGCCTGGAGCTGTAAGCGGCCCCCAACCCCGGGAAAGCTCCTAAGGGATCCGCGCGCACTGGGTAGGGGAGGGAAGCCATAGATGTTACAAATGCCTGGGTCTAGCCAGGGATAACTTTCTAGCAAGCGAGTGAGAGCGCCAGGAGGCGGGACCGCTCACCCACAGCGTGGTGTAGCTCGATATTGGCGATATGGACGACTCAGCTTAGGGGTTATGAGCAGACTGTTCTCCCTGCCTGGGCCTCAGTTTCTCCATCAGCAGAGGGGGGTTGCTGAAGACGTATACCGGGCGCCTCCAGGGAACGCAAGTGCAGGAAAGGTGGGGGCAGGGATAGAGAGTTACCTCGAAATGGGGGCGTCCCAGGGATCGCGCCCGCGCCCGGGCCCACGCGGACAAGGAAGACGGAGGTCCGCGCCGCGAACCCGAAGAGGCCCCCGGGTACGGCATCACTGCATCGGGCGCAGTACCAGTTAGGGGAGGGCGGCAGCGTGCGCGGCTCCTGGGCCATGACCACGAGCCACCAGGGAAGAGGTAAAGAACCACTGGGACAGACCGTTTGCAGTCCCACGCCGCTGGCGGGAAGGGGGCGGGGCCAGCTCGGAGCCCCGCCTCCCCGGGCCCGCTGCTACGGCGCGCGCGGAGGCCCAGGCCGCACCGCGCGCTCCGCTCCGGTCGCCGCAGGGCTTGGAAGTGCCGGGCAGTGTTCGCGGCGCTCTGCCTCCCAAACTCGCCCGCGGCCGGGTTGTTGCTGCGTGAGCGCAGTCCCGGGGTTAGGCATTCTCACCTCCTACAGTCAAGGTACACAATTAACGAGTCAGACTGGTGGAGTCATCTTCTGCACTGCCGGTTTATTCGTTGGCCCTGTTTAACGCTGTCCCATCAAGTGTTTTTTGAACGCTATGTGCCAGGGCACTTTGCTGGCTCTGGAGATGCGTTAAATCAGCGATTTTCAACTGGTCTGCCGAGGCAGCAAGAAATTTTAAAACATGCAATACCTGACTATGTAGAGCAGTGACCTCTTTTAGACTGTAAAATTTAAAAAATAACAACAGCCAACACAATAGCCGTCCTGTATTAGTGAATCAAAATCACATCGATTTTTTTGTCAGATTGGCAAAAAATATATTTTTTGGTGTGCTGCAGTATTTTAGTAATTAGTTTGTGTGCCATGAGATGAAAAAGGTTGAAAATAGCTGCTTTAAAGATATCTACAAGAAGACAGTTAACAAAAAGATAATTCCCAATCAGAACTCAAAAAGGAAAGAGTTTGTGCTATTGGGTGGAAATTCTGGCTCTGGGTTCTCGGTAACTCCGGAAGAATGGAGTGACAACTTGATTGAGTGCCAACTGCGTGAAACTATGTAGTAAGTGCTGTGGAGGGGAAAAAAATGGAAGGAAGTTTCCTCCAACTCAAACATGCTAAAATGCTCATATTTCTGCACTTACACTCTCCTACTCTTGTATCGGTTTTTGCACTGGATATCTGGCACCGCATGTGTAGCGAACAAAACCTGAGCTATCTATCCTAATACAGAGAGGTCAAACGAATATATTTGGATATGGGTAGGGGCACTAATTTTGGAGGCATAAGCCCTAGATTGACTACTGGTTTTGCCAGTTGTTATCTAAGAAACTTCAACCTATCCTAAATCTGTTTGTCCATTTGAAGATGGAAGATGATAATCCATGCTTTGCTGGATTGCTGTAAGGAATACTGAGATTTAGTGAAATGTCTGCTGGGCATATATAGTAGCAAGTGTCCGATGATTATTAACTTTTATCTCTTGTAGGCCAACCTGGAGATTAATAGGGATTAGGACATCATACTTTATATTTGAACTGTTTTATAAAAGAGCTTTCCACGTGATCTCTAGTGGCTTTAAAAAAAAAACTGCTGTAGGGATAATTATTCTATTTTACGGGTTGAAAACTGAGTCCCGCCCAGGATAGGTGGCTTGTTCGCGGTTCCTGTTTCTTAATTCTTTCAGACCATTTGTGAGGTGATTTTTCGTGATTTTTCTGGATCCTGATGACTTTCGGGAGACACTAGTTTTCGTCCTTTGTTAAGTCATTCCATCCCTAAGCAAGGTTGGGCTGACCACGCCTTAAGCGCCGGCCGCGTCTTTGTGGTCTCCATGACAACACCGCAGGTGCAGGTTCTGCTGTGTTTCCTGCTAGGGAGGAAAAGCGGAAAAGTGCGCATGCGTCTTATCCAGACCGTGACTGAGCTCGGAGGCTTCCGTAGAGGGTGGGTGAAAGATGGCGGCGGCAGTGTGGGACCGTTTGGGTAAGGATTTCTTAGCGGTTAAGGGGCGGTAGAAGGGAGTGGAGGTTGGAGTTGAGTTGACAACTTGCGTTGCTGTTGCAGGTGCGTTATGGATGCAGAATCTGAGGGGGAAACTGGCCTTGGGGTAAGTCTCCTCGGAGTGGCAGAAGGGCCCAAGGCCTCCTTACCGGTCTGTCAGTTACTAAGAGCCTCTGTGCAAGGTTCTGTTTTAGGCTCTGGGGCTATGGAGGTGACAGCCAGAGTCCGCTTTGTCACCCCATCATTCCGCCGTCTTATTGCATAGCCCTCAGGGGGTCAGGATTACCTGTTCCCCAAGGGATAGTGTAAATGTCTTTTCTAAACAGTCTCTTCTCTCTGAACACGGTTCGACCCTCCCAACCATGTCGCAGCGTCCAGCTTGCCTAGTTACCACCCCAGTTACTCGCTTACACCAGCAGGGACTGCGATGTAGGCAGCCGCGGCTTGCATCGCGCCAGGTATTGTGTTAATCGCTTTTATGCGTTAGCTCATTCTCATAACATCCTGTGTAGCGTACGTACCCATTTTATTATTATTATTTTTTAGACAAGGAACTTGGAGCTCTCAATAAAAGCACGTCTTAAGTCCCTCAGTTATAGTAAGTTTTGAAGCTTTAAACTGTACTCTCCGGAGTATTCTTTGACCTCAGGGCAAAAGCATTCCTGAGGTTAGGGAATGCAGTGGGTCGGGACTGGCAAGAAGCCGTTGCCGCTCCCTTATTTTCCCTTTTTTGCAGTACAGCGATTGATATTTGGAGATTGATAATTTTCTGATCAGTGCACTTCTTAGCCTTTATTTTTATTTATATAGGCTTTGGAGACAGATAAGTTGGGTGCAAATCTACTTTTTAACTGTTTGATTTTGGGAAAGTTACTTATCCTTTCTAAGTTTCAGTTCTTATGCTATGAGAGGAATATTAGTACCCACCTTAGGTTTTTTTTTTTTTTTTTTTTTAAATGAGATAATGCATATGAAATGTTTAGTGCAGTCCATGGTATATAATAATGCACCCTAAATTTTAGCTGCCATTACTGTTTTTGTCATTATAGATTATTACGGAGTCCCCTCTCACCCCCTTTTTTTAGCTCCATCCTAGGTTCTTGGTTCAAGGGGATGAAAAGGTGTGCTAATGAAGAAAAGAAACCAAGGGTATAGCCCTTAGCATTTGTCTATACTTTGCTTTCTTAGGTTACTTTTTATCACTCCACCCAGCCACACTAATTAACTTACTTTCTTCTGAATATGTTGTGCACATACTTGCCTCTTGGCTTTTTCATGCTGTGCCCTCACTTCCTGTCTATAACAGCAGTTGTCATTATTTAAAGCCCTGTTCCAATGTTTCACCTTCAGGAGCTTTTCTGAGGTCACACTACAAATGAAAGAAATTAATTTCTCCTTCCTTTTAGCATGTGTGCCTTGAATAGTCCCTTCATGTGGATGTGTCTATGCCTTTTACTAGCTGTGAACCCTGGATAGGTAGGGTCGGTTCTTGTTTCTCTTTGTAGTTTCAGCATAGGGTCTAGAACAAGTAAAGATTTTGTTAGTCTGTTGATTTAAATTATCCTGTACTGATTTACACTGGGAAGCTCTGAGCCAAGTAACTTAAGCATTTTGGCTTTAGTCTTTTCATCTGTGTTCTACAAGATGGTTGGATTTTTCTAGATAATCTCTTAAGGCTCTTTCTAGTTCCAAAATTATATAATTTTATGACTCCCAATTCTGGACTTTCTAATGGGGAGATAATCTTGTAAAAACTAAGTATAAAAGGTATAAATAATGCTCATGATAACTGTGTAAAATCATAGAGATCATCCATTTTAGTGATTGGAAACTAACTGCGTACAGGTACTAGAAAATCAGTGACCTAGGAGCAGTGGTCTTTGTAAAAAAGAGAGTGAGGTAGGGCTTGTGGCCATTTAACTTTGGAGTGCATTCCTCATCTAAAGGCTTTGAATTGGGTTAAGAAAAAAATGCTGCTGACCAGACAAAACTTTTCTGCAGGCTATATTTAGTAGCAGATTGACGGTTTCCCACCTTTGAATTCTTAGTCTACCATTTCACTGATGGATGCATTTGAGAAATTTTGTGACTTATTAAAGGTTACACAGTTAATACATGGCAAATCTAAGATCTAAACAAAAAATTATCTGGCTTTAAATAGTGTTCTGTCACATCATGGGAGGGACAGAGTGATGGACCCAGAAGAGGTTTGTCAGGGGAGTCTTTTGGGAAGAGGTGACTTAAATTTAAATAGAGTGAAGAGGATGTTTTGATGGTTTAGAAATGAAGGGCTAACTATGGAAAACAATATGGTGCTTCCTCAAAAAATTAAAAATGGAACTGCCAATTGACTCAGTGATCCCACTTCTAGGAATATGTCCTAAGAAGCCCGAAACACCAATCAGAAAGTATATATGCACTCCTATGTTCATACCAATGATATTTATAATAGCTAAGACCTGGAAACAGCCCAGGTGTCCATCAGTAGATAAGTGGATAAGAATGCTGTGGTACATTTACACAATGGAATACTATGCAGCTATAAGAAAGGAAGTTCTTTTACCTTTTGAGATGACATGGAGGGACCTGGGGAGTATTATGCTGAGCAAAATAAGCCAGTCAGAGAATGACAAGTATTATATGATCTCGCTTTATACGGAATATAATGAACTTAATAAGCTGTCGAACAAAATAGATCTAGAGACATGGAAGCAGGGAACAGACTGATAAACCTCAGAGGGAAAGGGAGTGGGGGGCGGGAAAAGATAAACCAAATAAATTATATGCATAACCAGTGGACACAGACAACAGTGTGGTGAAGGCAGAGGTGGGGGTGGTATCAATGAGGGAAAAAAGGAGGGGCATCTGTAATACTTTCAACAATAAAGATAAATAATAGTAATAAAAAGAAATGAAGGGCTAGTGTAAAAGTGTGAAGGCACTAGTGACTGAGATATATGTAGTTTAAAAATTTCCACAAGAAAAATCAAGTTGGAAATGTCTTGAATTAGCAGTTTGGTGGAAAAAGGACTACAGCTGTGTGATTACATATTTGAATAAGCACTGGGCTGCAGAAGGTAGGGGTGTGGTCTTTGCCAGGGACAAATGTTATCCCTTAACTTAAAAAAATTTTTTTTTTCTTTCATTGATTTTAGAGAGAGAGGAAGTGAGAGGGAGAGAGAGATAGAAATATCAATGAGAAAGAATGTTGATTGGCCGCCTCCTGCATGCCCCCCTCTGGGGATTGAGCCCACAACCTGGTCATGTGTCCTGACTGGGAATCAAACTGGCGACCTCTTGGTACATGGGTTGACGCTCATCCACTGAACCACACTGACCGGGCTCCTTAACATTTTGCTTCATGTCTCTGAGGCTCAGTTTCCTCATCTCCAAAAATGAGGATAATATCTACCTTAGAGGGTGGTGGTTGTGGGAATTAAGACAGAATCAGCAGTGAAATACCTGTTATAGGCTCTGTGGAGGTGTAGTGATGGGGATGGTAGGGCCATGAAGTTCTTTCAAAGGAATCAGACTTTATGATGGAAACCAATCAGTAACCACTTGAAACTCTTAGATGGGGTTACATTTTTAATCTATCACTCTACTTTTATAGAACAATTGGCAAGAAGATGATAAACAAACATAAATTAGCCTACTTTTCTATTTAGTTAAGCCACTCTTAAGAGACTTTTCAAAGTAAAGGGTAAAAATTACCTTTTTTTTTTTAATAAAAATGTCCTAGGACATTTTTCGATATTTTGTTCACATAGAGCGGGAGGGAGAGGGAGAGAGAGAGAAACATCGACGTGAAAGGGACACATCGAGTGGTTGCCACCCACACGACCCAGTCAGGGCCAGGGACAAACTGCAACCGAGGTACGTGCCCTTAGCAGGAACTGAACTCGGGTCTCTCCAGACCACAGGCCAACGCTCTAACCGCTGAGCCAAACCGGCCAGGGCATTTCTGATTTTTATTCATCTCTGTTTTCAGTGTTCTGATTGCATGACCAGCGAGATTTGACAACCACATTGATTTTGTGCTCTCTTAGTTAAATCTTACCCTATGATCTGAGGGGTTGTGATTTCTTGCTTTTTAAGACAATGGTTCTTAAATTTGAGTCTCAGACGCCTTTGAGAGTATGAGGAAAGCCACAAAGCATCTTCCCAGAAAAATGCATATTACAGTCATAGTCGTGTTTGTAGTTTCATAATCCTCAATCTAGGGATCTCTGCTCTGGGACACCACAACTAAACCAAGCATCTGTTTGTGATGCGTGAGGTACTGTAAATGCTTGCCATGCAATGAGGATACAATACTGATTAGTGCAGTATATGCTAGAGTTTTGCAGCAGTAGCTAGAGAACTTGGTTAGGGGAGGGTTGGTTTTAAGTTGGGAGATGTTAGAGTATATTTGTTTCCTGGCAGTAGTGAACCAGTAGAGAGGAAAACATTGCTGACTGAAGGATGGAAAGAAGAACTGCCAGAGTAATGTACTTGAGTAGGTGGGAAGGAATGGTATCTCGGGAGCAAGGATGAGAGTGGTCCTAGCTAGGGCATAGACTGTTCGTGCATAATAGCGAGAGAAGGTAGTAAACATCTTTGGACATGGTTGTAGGTAGGTATATGGATTAGGTGGTGGGAGCTTGTGGAAATTATCTTCCAATTGTTTGATTTTTTTTTTTTTTTTTTTTTAGCTAAATAAGCATTGTTATCAGTTGAGTTCAAAGGTGAGGGAAGAGTATATGGGAGATTTAACTAGCAAGAAAAGGTATGGTATTTGTTTGTAGGGGCTAGGAGAGGGAATGGACAAGGGAAATATAATAGGAATGCCAGGCAACCTTAAGGGTCCACTTGGGGTTTATGAATAAAAATGTAAAATTTATACCTGGCCAGTATAGCTCAGTTGTTTGGAGTGTTGTCTTATATACCGAAAGGTCGTGGGTTACATTCCTGGTCAGGGCGAGTATGGGAGGCAGCCAGTG